AATGAGTACACTAGCAAACAGACCTAATTGCTATCGGAGGATAATTTGTGCCATGAAATACTCCATTAACAAAACAAATAAACTACTCCGTACCAAACATACCTAATTTGCTCCCAGTTGCATCAAGCCAAGGCCCAAGGACAAGATCCCCAATTAATAATCTGGATAAGAATTAATTTCATTAAAAAGGCAATCTCTAACCTAACATGTTACACAGTAAAAAAATGTATACTGCTAGATTTAATTCCATAAAATTACCTGAGAAAAGCCGACAAAGAGATGAATGCGATTAGAGAGAAGGAAGCGTCGTCCTCCTCACTATCTGCGATAAATAAAGTCAGTGGCTTGTATGAAGAAGGAAGCGTCCTCCTCCTCTCTAACGCCGGCCCTTGGAATTGAATCTCACTTTCAGTAAAAACAGAGAAAAAAGTAAAGAAAAATTACAAAGGAATCAAGAAATGGAAAGGGAGAGAGGTACGATTCTCAAAAGGGTGGCCAAATTGGATCTAGATTAGATCTGGTGAGAAGTGCAAATGGTAAAGCTAGATGATTCGTGATGGATAAGAATGAAGGGTGGGGGTTATTGATTAATTGTGGGTTGGTAGTGGTTGGAGGTTGGAGATTTAATTGTAAGGGTATTTGTGTCTTTTGATAAGGAAAATTTACTTTTTTTAGAAAGTGAGAAGTTAATTTTAGGACGGCCCGAAAAGGAAAGTGAGAAGTTAATTTTAGGACGGAGGGAGTACTGAAACTAATTCCAAGTTAATCTTCTTTTTAGTTTGGCAAATACAATTCCCTAAGTCTTGTTTAGTTAAATTTAATCATTTAAATATGAAAAAAAATTGGTAATGGTGAATTGAGATTTGACATATTCATTGGACTTTAAACTCTACATAAGTAGGAGTGTACGGAGTATCAACTAAAAAATATTATCAACATGAGAATAGGCTTTGAAATTTTGGAAGATTCATATTAAATTATAATTATTTTCTTAAAACTCTATTAAGTAGAAGGGTAACAGAATTGGATTTAATTGGCAATAATCCAACCACCCAAAGATCATGTCAAATTATATATTATTCTTATTAGACAGAAGATATTTTTATTGGAATTAGATCATATTTGAAACGACTTTAAAAATAACTACAATCAGATCAGATCATAACTCATTTCAATCAAATCAGGTGAAGAAAACAAGCCCTTATTAGGCCTTATTAGAGTGGTGAGACTTTACTTAGTATACGAATATTGTTGTAATTCAGACTTTTATGGTGTAGTTTATTATGGCAGCAATCAGATTGTGTTTCGTATCACATCGAGGTGGTAAATTCTTTAATCTCACTAAACCGAATATCCAGTTTGACTCGAGTTTCCATTTAATTTAATTGAGTCCAGTTTAGATACATTTTGCAATACAAAACTGATTGAAGCCGAATTAAATTGTACTCTTTTCTCAATTTAAATCATCTGTTGTTTATAAGATTTGACTGAAGTCATCTTCAATTCAATTTAAAATTGATATGCAACCTAAAAATAAAGTTCGTATATTTAAAAACTCCGTCAATAATTTTGCCAAAAAAAGAGGTGACAAAATCAGACTATATTATTTTCTCAAATGGATAGCGAAAAATAGCAAAAATGTGACCTTAAGATCACAATCCATAAAAAATTCGTATGAAAAAAATTAACATTTTACATGTAAACCTTAAGATCATAACTCGATTTCATTATCCATGAAACCTGATACCAAAACATATTTCTCACTCTACCATAGGATATAAGATTCCCCGACAATAAAAAATCTAATGTTATCCAATAGTGGGAGTACTCCCATGCCTTTGGCAAAATAACTCATTGAAAAAAGATGTTTAAATTGAAGAAAGTGACTCAGGTCGTTTTTTTAAACAATAATTGATTGGTTTTATTAAATCAATCCAGCTAATTTATTGTAAATCCAATTAATTTACATTATCTGAAAGGGACGTGAGTGAAAACTCCAAAAATAAAATTAAAAAAAAACAACATATGAAGTATCACTTTTTTATCACAGCACAATATGTGTCCACTTGAACAAATGTCATAATATGATACTATGGTCATGTTTTCTTTAACTTATTTTTTGCTTATTACTTATTCTCATTAGAATCATATCAGATCGAGGATAACTATGAATATAATTACACTTAAATTAGACCAGAACAAACTGGATCATATCAGATCAGAACTCATTCTTAATAAATCAGAACTAATCAGATCAGGTGAATAGAACATGACATATGTCAAAAACTCATTGCCTTCAATTTAAATAAACTAATATTGTACTTTTTTTAATAACATTACTCAATATTTCAAGAACAAGGTTCCGTGCACATTGGAGTACAGTGACATTATGATGCCGTTGAATTATTGGAGCACCCCCGGTGATAACTTTTACCCCCCATGATCCCCATCCCAAACCCACCACCCCAG